TATATGTGTGTGTGTGTATATATATACACACACACACACACACATATTTATGTGTGTGTGTATACACACACACACACACACACACTAGAGAAGGGCAGTGGGTCCCAAATAACCTGGGATATAATCTAGTATAACTAGAGCACAAACTTCCAAAATAAAAAGTATTAAGAAATAATAACTAGCCCTTCCAGAAAATACATATGTAAACAAATGTTTAAGTCTCAGAATATCATTTCCTCTAAGGATGTAAGCCATTCTCCTGCCCAAATTAATGTAAGTTTAAGGATTGAGAACTTTAACCTATGGTTTAAACAAATAAAGAAAAAAGAAAAAGAAAGTACTTTATTTTTAATTAGTCTTAGCTCCTTTCTTTTCCTGTCTTTACCTTCTTTTCTTCCTTGGATTATGCTTTGGGCCCGCCAAGGAGATTTTTCCACCATGTAAGTTGGCAAATCAGTGGTTTAATGCCCAATCCTGCCAATGGATAATATGCTTTATATGTGGAGGAGAAGGTGGTGAGAGGGAGATTTCAAAAAAGAGTCTTGTCACTTAGCTAATACATTATGTAACAGAAAAGATATAAAGAAATTATTCACTAGCTTGCTGGTTTAAGAATAATTCAGGTCCTTTCACAGAGCTTCAAATGAACGGGTAGAATTATCTCTACCTACAGTTGTATTTTAGTTGTTTTTCTTTTTTTGAAGTCTCTGAAACACAACCTTCCATTCAGGAAGAAAAAAGAAAACACTTCATTTTTGGCAGTGTTTTTTGACTGCAATTTATAGGAATCACACAGATAGCCTTTTTTATGCATGCACAATCTCAATATCCCACTATAGGAAAAGGTTCGATTCAAATTTGGTCACACTGAGAAAATGAAAACTTAGTGCGGGTGAATATAACTCTTTATAAAAGCTGAGTTCTCCCTAGGACCCATGTGTGCCCTGCATTAACTCCAGAGATCAGCAGTATTGTAGAGTCATTAATCTTAGAGGAAGAAATATAAACCAGGTGGGCAGACTCCTAACATCAGCTAGACCAGCCCCAGAGAAGGATAGCTAATTAGCTGCCTTGAGTGTCTGCAAACTGTTCAGCATTAACTCTGGCTCCTGCCAAATTCGGTTCCAGAACAAAGAATGGCTCTTTGTGACATGGCAGGTTTTTAGCATAGTTGTGTTACCAACTTATAACATGTTAAAGATGAGAAGTAGATGCTAGAATTTTGAGGGCATATAGCCATTTATTATGTATGACACCCATATGCCTCTCTCCTAGAAGATTCGACACAGAGTATTGTCAAGGGCTACCAATTTCTCGAGTTGGGCCTCACTGCAACCATTTTCTCCTAAGCTCCTCCTAAGAAAAAGAATGACTCAATGAGTGCTCATTATGTGTCAGACACTTCACAAGCATTATTTCTAGGCTTCCTTAAAAAGACCTTATGAGCAGGGTTCCATCATCATGCTTGTTCTACGTGAAGCAAAGAACATCACGTACGTTGCCCAAGTCCTCAGCTGGGAAGTGGTGTGGCTACAATCTAAGCTTAGTCAGATGGCCTTACCTTCTACGCTCAATGCAAACCATGTGAACAAGCAATTAATCTAAGAAAATACTGGAATTAACTTACAAACATATATAAGAGAAAATGACTGTATTTGTTTTCCATTTCATGAAAATCTGAAAACAGCCATTCAGACTGGCCTTGTGAAAAACACAAATGCAGTAAACTGGCTTCATTAAAATCACCAACTTCTGCTCTGCGGAAGAGCATGCCACGAGAACAGGAAGACAAGCCAGAGACTGGCAGAAAATATTTGCAAAAGATAGACCTGGTAAAGGACTGTTACCTAAAATACACAAAGAACCCTTAACACTCACCAGTAAAAAGCAAACAACCTGATTAAAAAGACCTTAACTGACACCTCACCAAATAAGATACATACATGGAAATTCACATATGAAAAGATGCTTCACATCATGTGTCATCAGGGAAATGTAAATTAAAGCAACAAGATACCGCTACACATCTGGTAGGAGGCCAGAATCTGGAAAAATGACAACAGTAAAATGCTGGCGAGGATGTATGTGCCACAACAGAAAGACTTATTATACACTGGTGCTGGGAATGCAATATGTACAGCCACTCTGGAGGACAGTTTGGTGGTTTCTTACAAAATGAAACATATTCTTACCATACAATCCAGCAATCATGCTCCTTGGTATTTACCCAAAGGAGTTGAAAATGTGTCCATACAAAATCCTGAAAGTGGATGTTTATAGCATCTTTATTCATAATTGCCAAAACTTGGAAGCAACCAAAATGTCCTTCAAGTCAGAGGATGAATAAGTTAACTGTGCTACATCCAGACAATGGAATGCTATTTGGCACTAAAAATGAAATGAGCTCTCAAGCCATAAAAAGATATGGAAGAGACCTAAATGCATATTAATAAGTGAAAGAAGCCAATCTAAAAAGTCTACCCAGTGCATGATTTCAACTATATGGCATTCTGGATAAGGCAAAACTCTGGAGAGAGTGAAAAGATCAGTAGTTGCCAGGGGTTGGGTGGGGAGAGGAACAAATAAGCAGAACACAGTGGATTTGGGGGGCAGTGAAGATAGTCTGTAAGATATCCTAAGAATGGGTACATGTCCTCATACGTTTGTCCAAATTTACAGAATGCACAACACCAAGAGACAACCCTCATGTTAACTCTGGACTTTGGGTGGTGATGATGTGTCAACATAGGTTCATTTGTAACAAAGGCATTGCTCTGGTGACGGATGTTGATAATGGGGAAAGTTATGCAGATGTGGGGCAGGGAGTGCATGGGAAATCTCTGTACCTTCTGCTCAATTTTGATGTGACCTTAAAACTGCTCTAAATAAGAAAGGCCTTTAAAGAAACCAAAAGTACAAATCCTGCACTTGATGATCATTATACTCCCTCCAGACCAACACTACTTGGCCTGGGCAACTGCACAACCAGCTGGACTGTTTTGACTGAATCGATCTGACACTTAAGTTTATTTTTGTAATGCATTAAATTTAATAAATAAACTAATTAGGAAGAAGGGAGAAGTTCAACTTTCTGTTTGCGTCAATCGATTAGTTCTTGAACTAAATTGAAGGGTTGCTTGAGTTGTTTGACAATCTCCTTTGTGTGGTGAGGGTGAGAGTCTGTGTGTTTTCATAGAACTCGCCTGTCAGTGCAGTCAAAACTGTGTGTGGTATAGACACAGCTCACCAAGTGTTCTGACAACTGATTAAAGCCAAAAGTTCTTTTCAATCCACTGAGTTCCAAAGGTGCCATGTAAATATGAATTTTACTTATTTATTTACTTCATATTTTTCCCTTTGCTGGAGGACTTGAAGTGATTTTGCAATTTACAATACCATGAAAAATTAAGCACTTAGGACTAAAATAAAAGGATTCATCTATGGCAGTGGTTCTCAAAGTGTTGTTCCCAACCAGCGGTAGGATATCTCCTGGGAGCTTGGTAGAAATACAAATTCTCAGCCCACCCCAAATCTGCTAAATCAGGATCTCTGTGGGGAGTTGGAGGGAGGCAGTAATCTGTGTTTTAACAAATAATTCAGGGGATTCTGATGCTCACTCAAGAATGAGAACCATTGGCCTAAAGGAATAAAAAGATGGGACACTACCAGATACCTCAAATAAGCCCTTGATTTCCAATAAGCACTGAAGAAGAGATCCTGAGGACTTTCTATGGTGCTTTTATTAATACTATGTGTCTTAAGCAGAGTTCTTCTGTGTGTTTTTAATTCTTTCCTTTAATCTTTGGCAATTCAAGCACTGAGTTTAGGTCAGATGGAACTGGTCAAACAGAGAGCAGCAACCTGATAAAGATGGATTACCATAGAGCAATTTAATTAAAACTAGAAAAATACCTAGAATCCAAAATGGTCAGTCTAGTTACACTAGTTGACTTTACAAATAAATTGATCAACAATGCAGGGAGCTAGTTGTTTACTTGGGAATTAGCTATAACAACTCAAAGCACTTAAATCTACTGAATGTGAATTATACCAATAAAATAATACCAGATTAGCTTTACAAGATTAACAGAGTAGCAAATATCTTAGCAAAATAGAATATGCCTTAAGAAGAAAGGAATTGCATATCCCTGTCATGGCTGACTGGTGTCAGGGCAGGCTGTCTGAGAAGTACTGGAAGGGAGACCATCACAGAGCTTCCCAAGAAAGTGTACGCAAGTGACAAGCATTTCTCCTTATGCCCTAGCATGGAAGGTTCCATCGTGAATCTGCCCCAGATCGTGGCTCTAAAGAAGAAATACAAGGCTTACCTCTACATAGACGAAGCTCACAGTATTGGGTCCGTGGGCCCAACTGGCCGGGGTGTTGTAGAATTCTTTGGACTGGACCCTCGAGATGTTGATGTGTTTATGGGCACATTCACCAAAAGCTTTGGAGCCTCAGGAGGTTACATAGCTGGAAGGAAGGTAAGAGAGGGACTCCCTGTGTCTATTTAAAGCCTGAACACTCTGGGGACACAGTCTGCAGGGCTTCTCTGGATTCCGTGAGGACTTCAGTTCACTCCACCACACCTCAATAGATCATGGCAACCCAGATACAGTGGCTTCACAGCCAAGTAGACCCAGAATGTCAAAGAATTCACTCTCTAATAGTGAATAGTAATCACATTGTAATAAAATGACAACACCAGAAGTATACACAAAGACTTAGTACAAGGAGAGGTATGGTTCACTCTGCAAGGTAGTATCTAAGGAGTCTTAGAATAAATACCAGTTTTGTAGACAAATGATAGGGGAAGGTATCTTTCAAAAAGAGGGAATAATGTATAGCAAACCACAGAAATTGATAAGGGAACGTTACAGAATGAGAAGTAGTTTGGTTTTTGTAGCATGAAAAACATAAAACAGGTAATAGCAACAGTGGGCAAAGGTCAGATTATTAATGAGGTTGACCCTGTGCTACAAGTTCTGGGTTTTAAGAGTTTTAATCAAAGCCATAGTAAGATCAGAAATGCCTTTTCAAGAGATTTTCTCTGCAAAATAATTCTATCCCACATTTTGGATAAGCCATACATCAAATTGTGTCACCCTCTAATATCTTCTTTGTTAAGATTTTATTTATTTATTTATTTATTTATTTATTTATTTATTTATTTTAAGTAATCTCTGTCCCCAATGTTGGGCTCGAAATCATGACCCTAAGATCAAGAGTCACATGCTATGCCTACTGAGCCAGCCAGATGCCCCTCTAATATCTTATCTACATGATTTTAAATTCTCACCTGATGGAATCAGACTAGTGAGTGTTATCCCTGTTGTTTTAGGGCCAATATCATCAAGGGGATTGCCAATATAAACCAATAAATGTTTAAAAGAAATTAAAGAGAGGGGTGCCAGGGTGGCTCAGTAGGTTAAGCATCCGATTCTTGGTTTGGGCTCAGGTCATGATCTCATTGTTTGTAGGATGGAGCCCCATGTCAGTCTCTGTGCTGCGCATGGAGCCTGCTGAAGATTCCCTCTCTCTCCCTGTCCCCCACCATCTGCCCCTCTCCCCAACTCATGTTCACTTGCTCTCTCTTTCTCAAAATAAATAAACTTTTAAAAAATAATAAAAAATAAAAGAAATTAAAGAGAGGATCTGATTGATAAAGAAGCCTGTTGTCTGCCCTTTATCCAAGTCCTGATAGCTGTCTCATTCAGGCCTACACCTATCCCAAAGTGACTTATGACAGTGATGTTGGCTTCTCTGAGGAGGCACACTGGGCCCAAAACCAGTGCATGCAGGTGGCATCAACAGTTTCTCCAAAATTCCCAATTCCTTACTCATTACTTACACACAAGAGTTCAGACTCCTGGTAAACCAGTTAGACAAATTAGGGATTGTAGCAGAATACAGTCTATTCACTGAAAGCCCATGATTTAAAACAACAGATTTCACTGTGGTCCCTTACCTTGCCATGAGATGCACAAATGCTTCAAATGTTCAGAGTATTCAGTGGTCTTGACCCTTCAATAAGCATTACTTTCTTCTAAGCTCAAAGCATCGTTTTCCATCCTCCCTCCACTGGCCTTTGGGAATTAGTTTGGTAATGCTAAAAACATAGGGAATGCCTAGGATCTACAAAATTTAGCTAAATCTGGTGAAAGGTTAAACGTTCCCTTCTCAACTGTCGAAGCAAGGGGATCAGAGGGTCTCAAATTTAGGAGGTCCCTTATCCGGGTTACATTGCTTTGTGAGCTTGTGGTTTTGTGATTACTTTAGCAGCAGTTCTGAGCTACAAAATTTTTAACCAAGCGTAACTATGTTTCCTGAACCAAGGGCACCTGAATAAACTGAAGCAAGCATATCCTTGAAATGTTGTCAAATTTGGTAGATGTCACATTTTCCCCCTGGAGTTCCTTCATCTGATATCTGCTTTAAACAAAGACCCCTGACTGGCCTGAAGTCAGGTCCAGCTCACTCGGTTCTCTCTTACTCTCCATCCTAAAGTCAGGAGGACCGTTTTAAAAGTGTATTTGTTCTTATCTATATAACTCGTATTCATTTGGGACAGACACTGGGCAATTGTGGAAAATTATCATTTATATTAATTGCAATGCAGAAAAATGTTCATTTCCTTGCTCTTTAAAATACTCATTCTCTGCGCGCCTGGATCCAGAGAACGGCATCATCCTTCCCCCACCCATTTACTTTCCAGAGGAAAGGGCTTCTCCAGGTCTTCTCCCGCTCCACACTATACACTGCAGTCTCTGAATTTACCACTAGATGGCAGCAAGAATTAGAGCGTGTTTGGCAGAGGTCCATTAGTCCCTACAGAGACTTACTGCCCTAAAAGAGCAAGATGCAAAACCTAGAAAACATAGGGCAGTTTCCAAGACGTGGAGGCCACTTGAGAAAGTGTTTATATGTGCCATTCCCTGATGAGTTCAAAATCAGTTAAATACACACCTGTCTGGAATGGTTTTGGTGAGTCTGTGATAAACTCAGATAAATTGGTTTCCTTCAAACCTGCTATGCCTAAGAGTTAATGGAATTTTGGTATCTGCTTGTCTGTACCTTTAGGTTTTTTTTTTTTTAGTTATGTTAATTTTATTTTTTTTAACATTTTATTTATTTTGAGAAACATACAGAGCAGGGGAGGGGCAGAGAGAATCTCAACGGAGACAGACGTGGGGCTGGATCCCACCAACCGATCCCAGGAACTGTGAGACCACGACCTATGCTGAAATCAATAATCTGATGCTTGGGGCACCTGGGTGGCTCAGTGATTAAAAGCCGACACCTCGGCTCATGATCTCAGGTCATGATCGCCAAGGTTCAAGCTTCCCGTCAGCGTGGGCTCTATGCTGACAGCTCACCTGGAGCCTGTTTCAGATTCAGCCTGTGACCCTCCTCCTGACCCTCCCCCGTTCATGCTCTGTCTCTCTGTGTCTCAAAAAAAATAAAATAAAATAAAACGTTAAAAAAAATTAAAAAAAATAATAATCCGATGCTTAATCAACTGAGCCACCCAGGTGCCCCAAGTCATATTAATTTTAAATTACGTGTGGTTTCCATTTAACTCATGGTTTTCAATCCTCTGGATTTTGGATTATTTTTGCAAAAAAAAATTTTCACTTTGACTTTGTTTTGAATTAGGATTTTTAATTAATAGGTCATAGGATTGGACAAATGCTAACAGTTTTAATTTGAAAGAAATCTTTCCACTTACCTATTTAAATAATTAGAAGAGTTTTCAGAGTTTAATCATATTTTCTCCCGGATATTTTGCAGTGTATACTTCAGTTTGGGGGTATACTGCAAAATATCCAGGATTCTAACCTTTGAGTACAAAAGCAACAAAATTTACCCCTAAGAATGTTAAAATGCACACACTAGAACTTTACATTTTTCTGAAACCCTAATAATTTCAATTTCACTGTGTTCATGGGGTTCTTAGTGAATCTTGAGATTTGAAAATAATTACTTGGGCCAAAATATCTAGAAAAACGTACAACTGTCTGGCTCTCTTTTTAAATGTCAGTGTTAGGGTTAAAAGTAGAGAGACTATGTTCCTAATAGCAGTTTCTAGGAGGCTCTAGAAGTCTTTGTGGAGTTGATCAAAGTCAGGACTACAGTCTTTGTTAGCCACCAGACATGTCACAGAAAGAAAAGTGTTTGGAAACAAGGGGAGAAAAAAATGATTTGGTGCTAAGATAGTATCACTGAGAGTAAAGATTCTGTCTTGGCCTCAGGCTTGCTGTCAGAGAATGTCCGACAAAGTCATCTCTGCTTGTTGTAATTTACTGCCCTGGCCTCGACCTTCTCTCCCCGCTTTAGGGAGACCGCCCAAATGGTCTCTCCAGAGCCAGCAAGATTTTGCTATTTTGTTCACTTTGAGTTTAGAACTGCTGTAGATGATCTGTGAGCAGCCCAACTTGGAACATTCTGTCCTTTCGAGACCTTTGAGGTATCAGATAATGACTTCTCTCCACCTGTTAGAGCCTGAGCTGATGGGGCTAGGTTTCTTATTTTTGTTTTTTAATGTGTGTGTGGATCCAGTTGCTAAGGAGGTGTGGTCAACACTGAAGACCCTGATTTTGAGGGGTCCAAATATGTCTCAGGCATGGATCCTGAGTCCCCTTCCATGCCTGCTGCTAACCACTGGCTTTCATAGTCTCCATAGGCTGAGAAGATTGCAAGCAAGTGAAGAAAAGGTAGCCTTAATGATTGATAGATGGCAGGGCTAGAATTCTGGAGGAGGGAAGTCTGACAGGGCAGCCAAGTTTGGGGTGAGCGTTAGCCCCAGAAGCCTGTGTGCCAGACAAAGGCAGGCCTCTTGCAGAAGCTAGCTCTGCCCTGTCTGCTCAGCCCCGGCTATATTTAACAGCCCTTTGAAGTAAATGGGGGTCATGGTATGAACACCGAGATGTTTATTCTAAGAGCCTCCTGTCTGACTTCCTCAGCAAACTACCCTTGCCCTTGAACTCCAGGCCTATGGGTAGAGAAAATAATCAGGGTTTTGAACTTACAAAAAAGACTTGGAAACCTTGGTAGGAGGAGACCTCTAACCCACCCTGAAGGAAGACATAACCCAGACTTTCCTTGAAAAGACCAAAGCAAACTCTTAATTCATGGCTCCTGGTGCCCAGTGGGGGAATGAGAAGAGGGAACCAGAAACCAGGCATCAAGACCTTCCTTGATGCTCAGCAGAAGTTACTTAAAGAGCCCCTCTTTCTGAACCACACAAGAAAACTAGCACTGTCCACAAACTAAGACCTTCAGAGGGAGGGGACCCAGTCTAAAAGAAATAAGATGGTGGGCAAGATAGTCTTAATGTTAAAAGGGAATGATAACTGCTTTGATGAGGCATTTATTCAAACTAAGAATGCACATGACTTTGGCTTTATGAAATTTCCCAATTTGGAAAGGAAAATTAGGGGCTGAGGACATTGAGAAGAGCCCTTTAGGGACGCAAGAAAGCTTTGTTTTGTTTCTTTGTCTGATCTTTGTCAGTGATGCCCCAAAATGAAGAGAATGTTTCTATTCTTATTCCTAAGCATACAGCTTAGTTACCCTCTATATACCCTATATACTTCAGGGACCCTCCCCATCCTTCCTCACTCCCTAAAACCCCTCTTCTTTTCATTAGATCATCAGTATTTACCAGGCCCCTGCTAGGTACCCACCATTCTGGACTTTAGAAGAGTGTTTAATCCATCCCTGCTCTCAAGGGGGTCTCACTCCCCTTGGAGAAACAAGAGCAATAGCCCCAAAGAATTTTGAGACTGATGTGATTCGGTCTGTAGTTTAGTGCTGTTGACACTTGAGTATATTAGGGATTCTTCCCACCTCCCCCCAAAAAGGAGCAATCTGTGGATCAGGGAAAGTACCACAGTGAAGTACAAGTGAAGGTGGTAGTCTCTGTGCTCCCCTACCCGCCTCACCGCATGCCAGGCCAGCCCCTCTGGTCTGGAGAAGTATTGTAGTGTGGTGCTAAAGGTGGGGATTCCAGAGCCAGGCCGTTTGGGTCCAAATCCTTGTTATCCAACCATGTTTTGGTTGGATAATGAGCCACCCAAGCACATCTTTAAGGATTTTTTAAATTTTTTTCATTTATTTTGGGGGGTGCAGAAAGAGAGGGAGAGAGAACCCCAACAGGCTCTGTGCTGTCAGCCCAGAGCCCTATGCGGTCTCACAGACCGTGAGATCATGACCTGAGCCAAAATCAAGAGTTAGACACTTAAACTGACTGAGCTACCCAGGTGCCCCCTAGGTACTACATATATATTAACTCATTTAATTTTCATAATGACCCTGAAGTTAGTATTACTATTATCTCATTTTTCAGAGAAGAAAAGTAAAACCCAGAGAGATTTAGTAACTTGCCGATGGTCACACATCAGTAAGTGGCAGAGCCAGGATTTGAACCCAAGCAGTCAGGTTCCAGAGCTTGTCCTGTAACTCCTTGATCATGCTTCCCTTCAAGGGAATAACTTTGTTGTGGGAAAATTTTCCCTCTACTCCCGACTGACTCTTTATGCTTTGCTGATAAGATGCCGGCCTCATTCCTAATTTTAGCACAGCCCATGCCTTTCCCTTCCTCTGCATCTGTCCAAATCCATCCATCCTTCAAGGCCAGATCACCTCCTTGAAGCAGCCCCTTCCAGCCTTAGTCCACATGAGCCCCCATCATCCTGTCACCTGTGCCCTACCCACTCTCTCCTACTCAGCTTCCCCAGCATTGTCAGGAGGCACCAACTCTCAACATAGAAAGAAAACCTTTGATGTTGCTCATGGAGCAGCACTGAGCATAATGCTGTGAAGAACAGCCTGGCTTCAGCTACCCTGGAAAATGACCATCTCTCTCTCTCTCTCTCTCTCTCTCTCTCTCTCTCTCTCTCTCCCCCTCTGAGCTGCACACTCTCCACCCCCACCCCTGCCCCCCAATCCTCCAGAGTGAACTTTCCAAATACTGTGTGGCCAATGCTTTAAGTCAGGCCATCATGATGCACATACTCTTTGACTATGGTGAAAACCCACCCAACTGCCTGTATGAGATTCACTAAACAAAAGCATAGATGGAAACTTAATTTTAATTTTAATGTAAGTGGATAATGGCTACCAGGGACTAGTCTTTATATCTTCCTTCTCTTCTTAGGCTCCCATATCTAGAACAGAGCCTGGAGCAAATCCTTGTACAAATTTGCTGAAGGAAAAATGAAAGCAGAGAAGAAGGCCCCAGGGGTAGGGAGAAGAAAGAAAAGGGACAGGAAAGGATAAGAAAGGATAGGGAAGGGAAGGGAAGAAGGAAATACTTAGGAATGGAGAGGAGAAAAAGATTTAAATGGAGAATTTGAAACAAAAAAGGGAATCAGAGTAGAAGGAAGAAACGAAAGAAATGAGTATGAAATGAAGGACAATAGAAAGAAAGTTGGGGAAGAAGGATGATGGAAGAGGAGATTTAGAATGAAGGACACATTGAAGGAGGCAGGAAGGGACAGAATGGAGCTGCTAGTGTCCCCCATGGGCCAGGTAGGTGCATCACATCATCAACCACCTGTGAGATGGGCCGTTCACTTTACTGAGGAAGATGAGCTCAGAATGCTTAAAACGGTGGGACCCCTGAGTGGCTCAGTTGGTTGGGCGTTCGACATTGGTTCAGGTCCTGATCTCACAGCTTGTGGGTTCGAGCCCACATTAGCCTTGCTGCTGTCAGGGCGGAGCCAGCTTCCGATCTTCTGTTCCCCCTCTCTCTCTCTGTCCCTTCCCCACTGGCACTCTTCCTCTCAAAACTAAATAAAACATTAAAAAATTTAGAAAAAAAGAATGTTTAAAATGCTTGTGAACAACCATAGTACCCATTCTCCAAGCGAGATGGAAAAGTGAAGGGTGGGCACAGTCCCAGGCTTAGGGGTGGAAATGGGTGTTTAGGAGGAGATGGGTCTGCCCAAAGCAGGGCTTTACCCAGTTCACCTTATGAGGGAATAGATCAGAAAAGACCCCTCAGTGGGATTCTAAACTGTCTCCTCATCTTTGAAGAGAAGGTGGCTGATCCTTTTCTGACTCATTGCTAATTTGAGAACTATCATCAGCCCACTAGCTCTTCTGCAGAGCATCCTGAGGGTCCTAAGCCATGAGCCAGCACAGGTGGACCAGTGGATGGTCCAGTCAGTCAATACTGAGCACCTCCAGATGCAAGCTTATGGCCCTCCCTACTGTGGCATTGTGTTATAGGAGCTTCTTAAGGCTTTCAGCAAGCTTACCTGGGACCTTCTATTTGGCCTCAGGAGTCAGTCATGCAAGTAAAAAGTCATTCCTATCACTAAAGACCAGCATCTGCAGTGGGTCAGCACTCCAAATAACGTTGCACAAAAATTGCAATAGCTGTCTGCTGACCAAGGCATAACCAGAGTCTATCTTGTCCTCATGTATAATCTGGTTTAATTTCCCACCTCTCCCTTCTGCCACTCCCTTTTCTTCTTTATCTGTCTTGATTCTTTAAGACCATTCCTCCTCTTCACTGAAGCCCTCCCTCCCCATCTCCTCCTCTTCACTGAAGCCCTCCTTCCCACTCTGCTCCCACTAGTAATACCCATCCCTGTCTTCCAAAGTCTTATCACCCTATTGCATATACAGGTTTGCACGTCCTGCTACTTTTCCTCCCATTACTTTTCCCTGGGCACAATCTAATGTTGTAGGCTCAAGGGCAAGAAGCACATCCTGTATTCTTTGGAGATTCCTGCATACAAAGCCAGTGCTCCTACGTGCTAGGTATTCAACAAATGTTTGGGAAATCCTTTTTCCTTTACACATGTAGTTTTGCCTTACAGACTTTAACTCCGAATTCTCAGCATCCCACTTTTGTATGCCACGTAGGTTTTTGAGGGAGAGGCTAAGAAGAAGAGATAACACAAAATAAACTGTTTGGTGATTCCCCCTTGAAAATCAGACCACATTCGAGAATCAAATGTCTTGTCCTATGGTAGGTGGGGAGGGGATGAGATATAATTCTCACCACAAACACTGAGACTTATTTGCCTTCTTTTGGGGCTTACTCTTTTATTAAAGGACCTTGTGGATTATTTACGAGTTCACTCACATAGTGCTGCTTATGCTACATCCATGAGCCCACCGATAGCAGAGCAAATCATCAGATCAATGAAATTTATCATGGGACTGGATGGAACCACACAAGGTAAGAGGGTATGAGGGGAGCACAACTCCCGTAAATCCTTCCTTAAACTTCTCTCTGTCTCCCTTCTGCCTTATCAATCTGCCCCCTTCTCAGATATATACCTTTGTCTTCACCCAATTTGTAAAATCAATTTGTACAAACCCAATTTGTACGTGATATATAATAACCCATAGTACAAAAATACACTAGCACACACACAAAAAGAAAGAAATGCTTTTTTTTAAGCAAAGAAAACTTTCTAATTTACCTCTTAACATGATCAGCAAAGTTGGATAATTTTGTGGGATCAGTTCCATTAAAATGAAGCAAACAGCGGTATGTGTTTGCCTGTGCCTGCTTGGGGCCGTCACTTGTGTTTCCCTGGAAACAAGCCAGAGGTTGGGAAGGGTTTGGTTACCACTGCCCACTTGAGGATATGTGGACAGAACACACACGACAACTTCCCAGTCGCTTTGCAGACATTTGGGTCACCACAGCCAAAGTGTGTTTCTTTGCTCAAGCCAAAGGAGCTTAATCGTCTCTTTGAAAAATTGTTTCATCAAAGCCTTTTGGAACTCTCCTTCTATCTCTTAGATACAGCTTACAGAGCTTCTACTACATATCACAGTGGGGATACAATGATGAATAAGGCAGTCTTGCTGCCAGGCAATCGAGTGAGTGCATTTATGGAAGTAGCAGATTATCCTGGCCCCAGGACTGGTCCCTGAGCCATAAAATCCATGTGCCCTCCCCCCCCCCCC